TCTACAGTCTGTCATCTCATATTTGTCTAACAAAGGTAAGATACCAGTGTGCAATGAATTTACACCATACCTTTACAGCCCATGCCTTACTTTAATACATTTGCCGAGTCATTCTTAAGTATCTGCTGTCGGCATGGTATTTCAGTGAGGGGAATGTAGCACTATAAAGTCGGGCATCCTATTTGTGCCATCACAAGGGGGAAAATACACCAACGTACTGCCCCAAGCACACTTGGCATGAACGGTGGAACAACCTTAATTGACCATAACTGTTAATAGGAATGTGTACCCTATACAACCAACCAAGTTAATTGCTATCTAGTATCTTGTTCAAATCAAGATGATTTAAAACAAAGAAAACTTATTCCGAGTGTCACTGCGCTTCCTTGCATGGATTTAAGATGCCTTTCCATTTGTTTTGATATCTCCTCAGTAACTGTTATCTTTTTTCCAACAAGTAATATTGATTTTGTAGTCGTATTATGCATACATTTACTTGTTTATGATATTTTATTTACTCTTATTTTTAAATGTTAAATGACATTTGAATGTTGACATATTCAACGCGATTGTACAACATATGTAGTAGACAGTATCTCTATTTTACCGCCATTATAGCGTTTCATGTTGGAGCGTGGCGGCTGTCAAAATGTGTTGTTCAATTGTTCTTTCCCGTTTCTATATGTTCTAAACATATGCCATGTAGATGAGACTCATGTATCTCTCTCGTGCCAACTTTGAAATCTCTAACATATGCCGGATACGGGAAATGATCTGGATAAGGATGTTCACCCTATTAATGACATTTTATCTTTAGTATAACTAGCACATGACTTAAACGTTGATATATCGTTCACAGGTGTTCAGGGCACAGTGTATACTAGGTGGGGTCGACCTGATTGTCCAGCCGGTAACCACACCGAACTTGTGTACTCAGGTAAGAGGCATGGTAGTACGACATATCAGATGATATTCAGCTAATGAAGCCTGCTACACATATATATCAAAGATACAGTGATATTCACTCGATAACCATAGCTCCAATAAACTAAAGTAGCATTTCTTGTTTCCATGACGTCAACAACAACATCGAAGCAGGAACTCGAAATCGATCACCAAGGCAAAATAGGAACAAAGGAAATATTTACATGGAGATCCTTTAAGCTTGAAAAAGTACAAGGAATATAAGACAAGGTGTTCCGGTTGGGGAAGCCTCTAGTAATGTCTCTGTCTGATATTCAAAGTCATATTTCCAAGGTCCCATTACACTCTGCGATGAGAAGTTGACTGAAAGACTATGTATTTTAAGGAACTTTGGAAAGATAAGCACTACAGTTACCACTTACATGTAAACAGTACACACTTGTTGATAGGCACTACAGATACTACTAACATGTTATATATGCTGAACCATGACTTTTGTCACCAAGGTTTCATTCTCCTCTTTAATGTAGGTTACGTGGGAGGCTCATTCTATACATCTCCGGGTGCAGCAGCCAATGCTGTTTGTCTGCCTAACAACCCGACATTTGGTGATCACCAGTTGTCAGATTCAGGTGTTTCGACAGCGTTTATCTACGGCGCTGAGTTCGAGGAGTATGCGATGTTTGGCCTACCCCATCAAGACGAAGACGTTGCCTGCGCTGTCTGTAGACATTCTGATCATTCTACAGTGACGATGATACCCGCTAGGACTTCCTGTTACCCAGGCTGGACTGAGGCTTATGGTGGTCTACTAGTAGCCGGATACCCAACACAGCATGCAGCAACCGAATACATCTGTATGGATGGACAGCCGACAAGTATTTTAGGGGGGAATAAAAACGACAATGGGAAGCTGTTCTATGCGGTGTCTACAAAATGTGGATCTCTGCAATGTCCTCCGTATGATAATGATCAGATTGTGTCCTGCGTTGTCTGCATGAAGTAATAAAACCAGAAAAAGTGTGAACTAATCACTTTATGTTTTTGTATTATCTGTATTTGAAACAATATTTCTACCACTCTTCTATTTCAGAATATCTTTTGTACTGATCTTATGTACAAAAGGAGTGTGGCAACAGGCTTAGCCTATATAAGCCCTCTTCTTACAAAATATAACAGTACATACATCATCATATCAATATTACTTTTAAAAGTGTATCTATAAGTATTAAAATAAGATGTTAATCTGTATTGATTGTATTCGTATTGGACAATTCATATTTCAATTATCGCGATTGTTGTAAGAGAGGTTATTTGGAAATACTACTTGAGAATCTAATAAAAACGTCTTGTGTTTCTAATACAATTCTGAACCGTCTCCACAATATTTCTATTCATATTAGCATCTTGCATCACGCATTGCTGACAGAGAGTAAATTAGTATTTGACTTTGGTTAGTATAAAGAGGACAGTGCAGGAAGAAGTGATTGCGATCTTCGAAATGGGTACCATATATACATGAGGGTCTATCATTTCGATGTGAATTAAGTACAGCTGAGTTCAAATAACTTTCGTTAATTTTTCTATCACCGTGATATTTACAAATATTACTACATAGTGGCTGAACATCCGTATCGGATGAACGTAGGTATTCCTTTTCAGCGCTCCAATATATGTCGTAGTAGGAAACATGATTGTTCCATTCTGAATTGTATAAATGAGTTCTTGGTAGTGGATCATCAAATAATCTGTTGTGTCGAAAGTTGTTATACCAATGTTATTTACCACCCTTCAATAGCAACAACATGTTATTCCTCTTTTTTGGCAAATGGTTTCGTTTGTTTGAAAACAGAAAACTGCTTTTAGTAACATTAACGGATAATATTCAAAGCTGTTTTCCATTACATGTCGTTAAAAGCGGCTTATTTGGGGTCGCTGTAGAATCATTTTTTTTT